ACTTGCGCGTTTTCCTTAGAATCTTTGTAATTCACTGGTTGCAGGGCACATGAACGGTCTATTACTATTGACCAGGACGCAATCGCCCGAATCGATACTTGCCAACTTGCCGCTAATAGTCCAATTGAAGATTTCTACTCGGCCGCTAAATGTGAGCTCATATGTTGTAGAGTGGATTTACTTACTAAATTTTCCAATACAGCATTTATAGAAGTAGAGATTCGTGTTGTACTGATGAGCTCAGTCCATTTAGGCCTCTCATCCAATGCGTATCTTTTTGGAGTTTTTGATGGACACGGTGGTCAGTCGTGTAGCAGACATGTTTCCGTTTCCTTGTTTCCATATATTTGTGCCTCTGTCTTGAGAAAACATGAGGTGAGTACTTTGTTTCAATGCACGGTTCTATTTCAGACCTGCTGTTTACTACGTCTTAAATTTTTAGACTTATAGCGGACGTAGGTTGGTGCTAGGGTAATGCTTATGAACGAATGTAGTATTTGAACCGCTGAAGAGTCAATTGACCAGTTTAAGCTCCAAGATTTTAGATTTAAGCCAAAAATTATTAGAATAACCTGAATACATCGGCTAACTCCTAAAAGTATCGCTGCCTGCATTACTTTTTCTGTTTCTACGCCTTCAGCTCTCAAAAAAACAATTGTGTCCTTCTTTTCAGATAAAAGTTCTGAGTTTGGAGGACCGATTGGAATGGCTCTTTAGCAGCGCTGATGCACATTTACCAAACACTTTTCTGTAAGTTTTTTTGCCGACTCTCAATCTCACATTGCTCTAGTTTTTATTTAAGAATTATTGATTTTCTTCTTGACAACTACCTGATACTGGTGTAAATTTAGGCAACCCACAATGCAAAATGTTGTCGATTTTCACAAAACTTTCATCAAAAAGAAGGATCTTACTACAGGTGCTTTCCGTTCTTCGCTTTTTCTTTTCTTCACTCGGTCGACGAGAAGAGATGGACCTTCTTCTGAATGATCAAATATTTTCCCTTATTAGCACCAATTTTGCAATTATGTTTCAGTTCGCGAAGCCCTCAAACTTGCTTTCGAGATGTGCGATGAAGATTTATGCCGTGCTGCTTTACCAGACAATAGAGGACAATTGGATAGGCAAGGAATTATTGTGACTAGTAACGAACCTAGGTTCGCACTTGGGGTTCAGCAGAACTAGATGAATATGTAGCTAGCCTGAAATCTTGGTGTGAGCCCACAAACACGTCATTATAGGAATTCCAGGTTATCAGTAATGACTGCCGCATCCGGATCCTGTGCAACCCTTGCTCATGTGCGGAAGCG